CCGCAAGGCGGAGAGTACCACGATTTGGGATGTATGCATGAGGATGACAGTGATGACTCTGGTATTAGATACCATTCGAGAGGCCCATGCAGAGGCCGTGAGACCGGAGAACCACAAGAAGGAACGGGTGACGGATAGGTATCCGAGTTTGTGACAAATAGTCGGGGACTTATGACCTTTCGAGGTCGAATTTAGGTGCCTTATATGGGCGGAGCTCGTAGCAAACTGATGGAGGAAGCATATAGTTCGAGACTTTCGATCCATCCCGAGGCCACTAAGATGTATTTAGATCTGAAGAAAGACTATTGGTGGCCCTATATGAAGAGGTATGTCATGTGGGTAGTAGAGAGGTGCTTGACATGCCGTCGGGTCAAGGCAGAGCACCAACGTCCACATGGTCCAATGCAACCCTTGGAGATTCCCCAGTGGAAGTGGGAGCAGATCTCGATGCACTTTATCACCAAATTACTGAGAACCGCGCGTGGAGTTGATGCAATCTGGGTAATTGTGGATCGGTTGACGAAGAGTGCTCACTTCCTTGCTATTAGTGAGGGCTCTTCTGCAGAGAAGCTGGCTGAGATTTATGTAAGAAAGGTGGTTTCACGGCATGGAGTGCCGATCTCGATTGTGTCAGATCGAGACGTGTGTTCTACTTCCTAGTTTTTGAGGAAATTTCATGAGAAGTTGGGCACGCGTTTGCATTTCAGCATCGCGTACCATCCGCAGACAGACGGACAGAGTGAGTGGACAATTTAGACGCTTGAGGACATGCTTCGAGCATGCGTTATGGATTTCAGTGGGAATTAGGACTCATACCTACCCTTGGCCGAGTCTTCCTATAACAACAGCCATCACTTGAGCATCGGTATGCCTCCCTTTGAGCTCCTTTATGGGAGGAGGTGTCGTACTCCCATCTGTTGGGGAGAGGTGGGGCAGAGATTTATGGACGGAACTGAGATAGTGCTGAAGACGACCGAGCAGATTCATCAGGTCAGGCAGAGGTTGCAAATAGCCCAGAGTCATCAGAAGAGTTACGCGGATAGACGCCGATCCGAGCTTGAGTTCCAGGTTGGGGATTTCGTTCTCCTGAAAGGATCCCCGTGGAAGGAGGTGATCCGGTTCAGCAAGAGGTGAAAGCTAGGACCCTAATACATTGGTCCTTTCAAAGTGACCACTAGAGTGGGTAAGGTAGGTTATCGTTTAGAGCTACCTAAAGAGTTGAGTCAGATTCATGACAACTTTCATGTGTCACAATTAAGGAAGTGTGTGGCTAATGAAACGGGGGTGGTTCCACTAGAGGACATTCAGGTGGATACGGGCCTGAATTATATTGAGAGACCGACCACGATTGTGGATTGCAAGGAGAAGACTTTGAGGAACAAATAAATACCCTTGGTTCAAGTCCAGTGGCAACATCGTAGAGGGTCCGAGATGACCTGGGAATCAGAGTCAGAGATGCGGGAGTAGTATCCAGAGTTATTTTTGGAGCATGACTTCGGGGGCGAAGTCTAGTTCTAGTGGCGGGAGAATTGTAACATCCCGAAGCCCATGTATATCTCTTTGATCCTTTTCTTTCCTCAAGTTGTCAAAATAAGTCCTTGAAAAGAATGTATGGTTTTTGAATACGTTGGGCGTAAGGGAGAGTACGTTGCGCGTACTCATTAGTGTGTTCTTGACGCGGAGGCTACCTAGTACGCAGGGCGTATCATAGTGTTTGTTGGGCGTACTAGGTTCAGATTGAAACCCTAACTGTAGGGGTGAGCCCTATATAAGGAACGTTCCCTAACCCTCATTCTAGAGCTTGTGTGAGTGTGGTTAAACTTGAAAGTGTTCTTGCGTGCTTTTGAAGATAAGGAGGTGCTTTTGAAGGAGCTAGAGTTGGAGGGAAAGCTTTGGATATGAGCTTTCTGAGGTTGGAGCATCAATTGGAGGTAAAAAGCTCAGAGCTTTCTCAACCTTTTTTATTTGTGCATTATGGACCATTTCTAAGGTTTTTGTCCCGAAAGTGGAGACTTTATGAGTAAAGGAGCTCCATAGACATTGATCTGCCCATATTCAGTGTATAATGTGATTTAGATCCATAAAAATCCAATCTTGGACATTAGGAGTGAGCCATGCATGAGATATGAGGTCCTTAGTGAAGGAAGTGGTGTGATTTGGATGATGATGACCTTTACAGCCATGCAAAGGCGTAAAGTCGCTGACTTTATGGATTAAGAGGCATTAGAGTGACCAGATCTGGGATATGAGCTTGTGTCTTAATCGATTAAGAACAAAATCATGAAGATTGTGAAAACTGGGCGTACGATATGCGTAATCCCAGTACGCGCAGCGTAGGGGTCGAGTGTCCCTGATTCTGTACAGCATCCGAGTACGTCCAGCGTACAAAGTTGTTACGCGCCGCGTACTCCTTAGGGTTGACTTTTAGGGTTTAGTTAACAAGTGGACTTTTGGACCATTGGAGGGGTAGAATGGTCTTTTACCCTTCTGAGAGAGCATAGGAAGGGATTAGTCTAGCCTTTGAGAGCCATTATTAATTAGACATAATTTATGTATGTGATTAGTCGGAGGCTAGATTAGTGTTTTGAGTTCGAGATCATTCGAGTTTACCTGAGGTGAGTCTTCTCACTATATATTACCTAGGGTGGTATCTATGTGTGGACCAGAAGGTCATACGTGTTTGCTTGAGATTATGTTTTTTGTGATTATGTATGCTATGTTCTATTCTAACCGGACCGTAGGGTCCAACGATTTACGAGGCTAGAGGGTCCACAACCAGACCGAATCGGAGGGTCCAACGAGCTAGACCGGACCAGAGGGTCCAACGAGCTACGGGACTGGAGGGTCCTGCTGAGACACATTGACCAGAGGGTCGTACAGAGTATAGCCTCGAGTGACGAATTGTTGTATGTGGTATTTTAGGGAACTCACTAAGCATTCGTGCTTACCGTGTTATGTGTTATGTGTTTCAAGTACCCCAAAGGATCACGGGAAGGCACTGGCGTGATTGTACACACACATTTTTTATATGGAGCTATGTTTGTGGATCCTGTGGATTCGAATAATTGTTTTGAAAACTTGTTGTTTGATTTTGAGGATTAATGTTGAGACAGATGTTTTATGGAATTAAAAATGAAAATTTTGGTTGAAAAATTTTGTCATTACAGTGATGGCTATTGGAGACATTATCTGCTCCTTTAAGAACCAAATCAACAACGAGGAAAACTATGATGAGGAAGACGAACACACATAGTATTTCCTGTATTATGTTATGGATAATGTTATTTTGGATTTATTAGATAATTTATGGATTATATATTAGATGTTTCTTTGGGATTTATTAGATATGTAATATGGTAAATTTGATGTTTTATGTAATGTGGTATTTAGTTATTTATGTATTTTTATCAAATCTGCATTTTATAACATATATAAACTAATATCATAAAAAATATGTTTTTTCTCAATATATATATATATATATATATATATATATATATATATATATATATATATATATATATATATATATTGGCAGCGACACCTTTAGGGACGACGTGGACTAATTGCGACGTCACATAACTCCGGGAAGCTTTGCCGGAAAAACTCCTGGTGGTCGGAATATCAATTGAGACGACGTCCATAGCGATGACATTGGAGTATTAGAGACGACGCATATTAGAGACGACAATATTTGCGACGACAAATGAGTATGAGCTATGAGGTAATTGCGACGACCCTTTAGCGACCATATGTCGTCGCTAAAGATATTAGCGACGACAAGTGTAATCAATTGCGACGACTTTTTTCATCGCAAAAGGCTGCATTTTTTGTTGTGATGGTTCCGTTTACGGGTACTATTGAATATAAAAAAAAATCAAATCCAATCACTACTACAAAGTCCATTTCAAGGATTTCATTTTGAAAATTAGTAACTCCAAAAAAAAAAAAAAATGAAGTTCAAATAACATACGTTATAATTTGTATAATAAAAATACAAGAAAACCTGACGACATGTAGAACTACCAAACTGGAAATGCCTATCTTGATTTTTGTTTGTGATACTGGCCTAACAGATAAAATGGTTTGGTTTGGTTTGGTTTGGTTATCCGCAGATACCTAAATATCCAAACCAAAACAGACCCATTGATTTGGTCTTTTCAGTTTCGGTTTCGGTTTTTTCAGTTTTCGATCGGCCAGTTAGGCTCGGTTTTTCAGTTTTTTTTTGCACACCAACTACTTGTAATATTAAACACTCCTAGATATAACTTTTTAAATATGCAACCAAGTTGTTTGTACAACGATGCAACTATGTTTTACCCCAAATTAAACACAATTACATTAATTATTATGTTCTCGAAAAGGTCTTAAGTGTTAGGGAATTTTGAAAATTTGGGTTATAGAAAATCTGGATCACAAACAGGAATCGTGTTATACACTTTCCTTGTTTGATATTTCGATCCTAATTGCCTTGGGTATCTCGAAATCCAAACTAAGATAATTCCTGAAGAACAATTCTGATTTTAGGCACAAAACCAGAATCAATTTTGAGAGAGAATGAAGAAGAAATCGATATCCGTTTTTCTGTGTTTCAAAGAAGTCGTTGTATTTCCCGGACTTATCCACACAACGGATAAAACGAGAACAGTTTTCAACTTTCAGAAAATACAAATTATACCTTGTATTTGCATCTTTAAATAATAACAAATTAGTCCTTGTATTTGCATCTTTAAAGAATAGCAAATTAGTCCCCGAACCCCGACTTGACACAGTAGATCAAGATTCAGTACTAACAATATTTAGTAAATATAAGTGTGCACTCTCACACCTCCTAACTTGTATTATAACTAAAACATTGTTCTTGAAACACTTGTTAAATCCATTACACTAAAATATATTTGGTGATTAAATCACCAACATTAAGCGCCAATTAGTCTGTTACGTTAAAAATGTCAATTATATTGCCTTCTATTTTACATATAACATGCAGCAGCGGCAGCAAAAAAAAAAAAAAAAAAAAAAAAAAAGTTTTTTTACAATATGGTAGCAAAACATGCATATTCAATCAATTATTTAGTTCCGAAGTATTCTTACGGTATATCATGACTTTGAAACAGATTTACTTAGTTTGAAGCAGGCGTGTCTCTATTTCTTTGGTAGCCTTTCTGTAGAAGTCCATAAGTGTATCCGGGTCTGGAACATCAGGGCTTAGCTTCTCATACTCGGCTGTCCATGTTACAAGGTTTTCTAAGCCATCAGCCTCTACACGAATATTCACAATCAACGTCTCATATAGGTTCGCCAGATCCCCATCAAGTAACTTATAGGTGATAGACTTCTTTTCTGAGTCAATGTCAACGATTTGCGTCTTCGCTAAACAGTCTTTTCCATCTACAGCAACGAAATCATCCAAAACATTGATTTCAAGTAGAGATTGGTATATATCCAAATATTTTTCTTCATGTTTTCTTGTTAACAGCTCATAATAAAAGGTAGAGATATATTAGTAAATATATGTTTTCATTACCAAGGAAATAGCTCCATACGAGAACACAGCCAACGATTCCAACTTGACCTCCCAAAGTTTGACAATTTTTGAAGGTTGTCGGGGTCAAGCTGGGAATTTGGAGTTGGAGTGACTTCCATAACTCATGAAAAACATCACCATCAGACTTGATCTTCACCTTAGCAATCCTTTTACCACTAAGTGACTTCCCTCCTTGTTCCATTCTGTGTGTGTGTGTGTGAAACTTGAACAATTCAAAGATGATAATTACTTTGGTCGTACATTTACCAATTTATAGATGTCCTCCCCTTCCCCACCACCAGTAATTTAATCACCATCTAGATTGTGTTTATAAAATATTATATACTCGAAAGATTTCAAAACTCCAGTGTAATCATGTGATTCATGTCTATCTGAACATGAACATGTTAACACTCACATTTTTGTTAAGAAAATTACAAGGTTTAATTATGTAATTAACGACTAATTGAACATGCACATGTTAATCGTCATATTCTTTTATTATTAAGATAATCACAAAGAAAACTATGTTAATTGGTATGGCTTTCGCATCTTTAGTTTCTATTAAACACTTCAAACATGTATGTAAATGAATGAATTTATATCGTCTATTAGTCCAAAAGTGTATGTCAGGAACCTTGTGCTTCTACCTACAGGAACAGCAAACAAAGAGAAACGGAAGAGAGTAGAGGATGACAGGAAAATGGAGGATATTTTGGGGCAACATGTTCTGCTAGGTTCTTTAATGAACTCGACTCATTCGTAATCCTCCACAGAAAAGACAAATTTGCCCCTGGCGAGGGTTGATGCTATTGCAATTTTTTAGCTAGGCTTTAGTTGTAGGAATTTCTTATTTCTTTTCTCTTCCTAGTTGTCTAGATTGTTGCTTTGGGGATTGTCCCTTAGCATTAGTTTTTGTGTAGTGTTTTTTCTTCGCTCATTATGCTCTGCACTATTTTGTCCATTTTTATAATCTACCTAGGTTTTGTCCTATTTATAGACCAGGCAATGGAGCATATTTGGAGCGGATCGGCCTTGATTTAAATCCATTAAGTAAGTAATTATCATCGTACAATGAGTGAGATGGCAAGCAGGCAACAAGCTGTATCGCTAAGCCTTTTAAAGACTACATCCGAAGATCTAGGAAATATAACATTTCTATGCATGATCTGTTGTACTCTATTAAGAAGCTCTACCGCATCCGACACAAGAAAACCAAACATATCAAATGCAAATGGTATGAACACGCGTTGACTTTCCATGCAATTTTCAAATGTTGATCCAAACTCGATCTATAACTCGCAGGGCTTTGAATAGTTAAACTCATACCTTTGTCTACCGGATCAACGGATTTTCAACTCTTTTTCCCGAACCATTTATAATATTAAGATTAAACTATAATTATGCATTACAGCACATATAATTGCAATTTCAGAAAATAAACTTGATTGTGGAATGTCGATGTTAGAAAATCCTTCTACAAAACAAGATAGATCTAAGCCTTTTGTTCTTGTTCTTGGTTATCAATTGTGACTGTAATACTAATTCCCCATATTTATTTGTATTGGAAGTTGAATGGAATTCAACCTGGAAGTGGTAGTGGAACGATCGAACTCCTCAAGTGTTGTACATAACACTGTATTAGTGATAAATATAGAACTTATAAATAATAAATTTATATATAAAAATTTATATGAGACAGGTTATAAACAGATCGGATCGATAGTGATCCATACCCAACCTTTTTAATAAAAGAGGTAATGGGTACGGGTCATTAATGTGTAAAGTTATCATAAAATATGATCCAAACCCTATAACTCTGTATGGGTTTGGAGCTGATCAGGGTCAAAACTCGTTCCATTGTCTAAGTCTACCAATTTACCAAAAAACAAACATACAAACAAAAAACTCTTGCTTATAGACAACATGAAAAGCCATACTAACTTATATGTTATCTCTATTAATGAATTGAGTTGGACTGTCGCACCATCATTATATGCTCCATATAAATCTATTATTATTATTTTTTTTGTATAATGCATTGCACTCTAAAAAATTCAATAGAACATCTTTAAAATAATTATTTAAGTATTAGAAAAAAAATCATCAAAAAGTTTAATCACCACTGAACTCCAAATTCATTGAATTTTAATGTGACATCTCACCATGAAAGAGTTTCATCTATTGAATGACAACTAGGTTTGTCACCTCATTCAACTATCATATTAAACTCTCTACTATGTATGCTCTAAAGACTAATACTAAAAAACGAATGATTCAAAATGGTTTGAAAATTTTGGGTTGTTCCAACATTTTCCTCTTTAATCAAAATTGGTTATGTTCGATATCCTAATTGTTCTCACATTTCTTCAAACTTGACTCTAGCCAAATACTTTGTGATGAAATCTACATTTTGTTCTTGGTTGCCCATGTGACATTCCCTATTTTCCAAAACCGAATAAAAAAACTTTTCTTTATACCTTCAAAACCATGTTATCTTTTTTTTTTTGCGGAAAATCTCAATTTATTAAAATATTTTGAGTACAGATGTTGTTTCAAAATAACAAAACCCTAAGGATATGATAATTAAGACACAACACGAGTTACAGCATAAAGACATATAGGTCATGAATATTATTGTAGGTTGTCTCTTATTCACTCGATAACATAATCAAGTTTTATTAGTCTTAGTACAACTACCTATGATGCATATAAATTTGAGTGGGTTATGTTTGGGAACCTAGTGGGACACATAGGGTTTTCAATCGTGCAATATTATTATGATAATAACTCATAAATAATAATCATGCAAAACCAATTGTTACCAAAGAATATAGATATATCACACAATAAAAATATCTATAAGGTATGGTACTCTTTACCCTTAGTTAACCAGCCCGTCTTAAATGTTGATTATATACTAATGATCCATTGATATCTAACATAATGGGTCACAGTAAACAACGAGTAGACTATACTACTTTTAGGGATTCTTTAGCAGTGTAAGTCAATAAAGGCAACCATGAGGGGGGACAAACTATTCGAATAAACACACAATCCCTTTCCTTAGATAAGTATGATTCATTAACACATAAAGATTCTTCTAGTGTACCATAATATTGTCTATAATAGTTAGTGGTTGTCATCTATATTATGCTAAATAACTAGTCTCCATAGTATAATAATATAATTTTAGTCGTGACCTCACACCACTATTTGATCTTTCACACCCCTTCACCACTCAATATTAAATATAACAAGTATACCACACTGCATTCTATATCTACTTCCTTATCCTTTTGTATCATATTCATTACTTTATAGGATTCATTCTCCATCTAAGCTACATCTTCTGTTCACATCTACTTCATAGGAGTTAATCCTAAGAATTTTACACTTCAGCTTTATCTCGGCATGTTCCATTCATTTCAACGTGGTCTTCTATTGCTCTAGACACAACATCTCTCCTTGTGCAATGCTATGGGTATATTACTTCTTCAGCTAATTATTCTATCTTACTTGAACAAGTAAGTCGCTCAACATTTTACAACCCAGTGACTCATTTCACCACCTTAATCATGTATGTTAAAGTCAGCTTAACACACTATGGAACTTTCATAAGGATGTGATAGAAATCAATTGTCACTCAGTGTTTATTAAATATTAAGTCTGAGCATCATGTATAGGGTAGAGATTAGCTCTTAACAGACCACTCAAACTGCATACTCTAACGCAGCGATAGATAAGATCTTGGCCTATTGAATTTGGAAACTCTGTCAGCCTTAACCTCTTTGTCTTCCTTGAATTTTTGTACATCATCTCATATAACCTCATCTTTAATACCTCTAGGGTTTTTATTACCATCTTCAGTTCTCCTAAATTCGCGACCAATCATTGCTTAAATTTAGTTGGCGGAAATGCTAAGCATTGCGAGAACCTCATGGATTACGTCAAAATTATATTCATCCTGCCAATTAAGAATGTACTAAGCATAAAATATTCTTCCAGATGTATTATTATTTCATCAAGTGTATTCCATAGGTATGATACCACTCTCTAGGTATCATTTACGATATCGCTTGATAGGTATTATGCATTATTGTAAGTCTCCTTGTCCCCTCAAAAAGTTATATGCTAGTTTTAATATAGTAATTAAATATTTAGAATCTGCACACATAACATTTCCTTTCTTCTTTTCCAGGTCAGCAATAGACCTTAGAATTTCTTCTAATAATAGCAATCTAGGTAAGCAACCTAAGGCATGCTATATCACATAACAATTATCACATATTACCATACTAGTTGTGTAACCCGTATATTATACGGGTTTATTAAAACAAAATGTTATAAATGATTAAACAATAAGGTTATTTGAATTTGAAAAAAAAATGAAATTTACGGAAATGAAATATATTTAATAATTATAGTATTGATTATCACATTTAATGCAATGAATACTTTACATATATAATAATAGAAGTATTAATTAATGGAATTATAATTTTTGATTAATAAAGAAATAAAAATCCACATAATGACATGTGGAATTTAAATAATTTAAATATCTTACATAATGACATGTGGCAAGAGTGTATTAGAAGATGACATGTGGCAAAATCATTTTCATTTATTATGGAGGATAAGGAATCTCTCAAAAAGTATGTTGGTGCACATCATATCAAGTAAGGTATTCAACCTAAGTTATGATATATAATGATTCTCATTTAGCACATATATTAAATAAGGCATATACCCTAAAATATCTAGTGCTAGTGTCTATTTACGTATATAACCTAAAATATATTAAACGCACACCTCACCATCATCGTTTAATCTCTAAGTTTCATTCTATAAATCCCCAAAATTCATATTTTGCTTAAAATAATGCTCTGATACCAACTGTGACATCACTAATTTTCATAACCAATTTTTTTCTTTACACTTTGAAAATCATAATATCTTTTATTGCGGAAATTCCCAGTACATTAAGACAATTTGAGTAAAAAAGATTGTCTCAAAATAATAAAACTATAAGGATATCAAAATCGATACATAACATATATTACAACGGAAAGACCTAACAGTCATGAACTCTATTGGATGTCTTCTCTTTAATCACACAGCACCCTACTCAAGTCTCCAGTAGTCTTAATATCGCTACATATGATACATATAAACAGGGTCGGTTCTGAAGATTGAAATGCCCAGGACGAACCAGAAAAAAAAAAAGACCCTTATGCCCAAACGTATAATGAAAGTTGAGGGTCTAAAGATCAATTTTTTGAAATTTATTTAGTAAAGAG